CGTATATATATACATATGTATTATTGTGCACTGTAATGGAATAATACTGTATGTACGAAATTATTTATTCAAAAAAATTAATTACATGAAATGATGACTTAATTAACACATATTTAATGTATTTGAACATACATTTTATAGGATTGTGATTATAAAATATGATTTATGTCTAGCCATATCCTAGATACAAATCAACAAGTGTGTAGTCCAAACACACACATAATTAACACACTACATAAAGTGTTATAAGCTTATAATTCTTTGACACCAGTCCATTTATCCCAAGGAAAGAAATGTCACAGGATAATTCATAAAACTTGCATTACATAGTTTCTGTAATACTTTCACATTCAATTTACTTAAACAAAGAAGTTTTAAATCAAAGCAAATATTCGGTTTTAACATGAAGTGTTATTGATCAGTTTTTAATCAATGATATAACTTTGAAAATATTAACACCTAAAAATAATATTTGGTCTTGAATTTGGCTGAATATTTTATTTTATGCCTCATATTTTTCTATGACAGGTTTATGTGCCTATTGTGACAGAATATTGAGAAAAAAGTAAAATGTTTTCTGAAAAAGTAGTTTCTAAAGTTTAAAATTGTTGGCCTCTTTATTACAGCTATCTAATACTGGGCCAGAATTCCTTTCATTGTGACGTTAGCCTAAACTAAGTGTGACCATAAAATGTTGTTGAATAAAGACTTGTTGTCTTATTGTTCAAAGTGTTTTGTTCACAAATGTGAGCAGCATATTTCAGTGGTGAATGCAGTATTAAAGTTTATCCCGAAGTTGCTAAAATTTTTTCATATCAAGTAACCGTGCAAGCCAAGAAACATAACTACACTTGCTGTCGAGCTATTCAAACCAATGTTAGACAAGCAGATAGCTGCAATATTGTCTTGAAAGAGACCTTGTTCACTAAGGTAAATATGAAACAATATTGAATGGACATAATTAAAACAATGTTCAAGTAGACTCTGGTTATCATCTGTCCTGTCATCATTACATCGCCTCCAATGGTTTGCCCTGCTGGAATAAACAAGTAATATCAAGTAAAATGGCTCATCATGCCACAACATGTGCTTTCATCATTCACTAACCATTTTTTACATTTTAAACATCACTAAAGCCATATTCCAGTTTTGTGATGTTCTTCACATGGTAAAGTGGTGAGTAAAATTGTGACATTATAGAAGGAATTGTCAATCAACTGGAAAACAGTTTGATGTCTGGTAAACATTAAAACCTGTCCAATTGTTATTTCCTTTAAGTAGCATCAGAAATTGGCAGAAACTATTTTTTCATTCTTATTCTCTGTTGATTGCCACTGTTTATTAATTGTGGTGAGCAGCCTGTCAAATAAATGTATTTTGATTCCTGCTAGATGGGTACTTATTACTGTGCCCCTTTAAAATTTGGAGATCCTTGCCTTTACCCACAGTTCAGCAGACTATCCATCTTATGATAACAACTCTATGTTTATGTAGGGCTTGAGCAATGTCCTGGCAGAGTGCGTGGTTTGTCCACTTTTCATATGGAAATAAATGGTATGTTCTACTAACATGACTGGGGACTCTAATAAAGTGGTCAGTAAGAGTAGTTACTATGTGCATGATATCGCTATGACACTGCAACTTTTAAAAAGCTAAATTTCCAATGCAGTGTGTTTTTCCAATGTAAAAATTTTTGGAGAAATTTCCACTGTAAGATACA